GAAAGATAAAGTGTCACGTGATCGCTAAGAACTGTCAATGTCAATGTCAATGTCAGTGATTGGCGGCCAGAGTTACTTAAATGTAAAGACGAGATTTTGTAAATAACTTTTGCTGTAATGTTATTTGGTTGTACAGAGAAGGTTAGCCAAAAGTTACAAGTGTTAAGAACAAGCAATCTTTGTTGGTCCTCCGAATGTCCTTAAATTTCCTAAACACACCATTTCAGAAATAGGGTAAGGTTTATGGTGGTTAGGGATAAAATATAGTTACGCATAGTGTATAGATATAGCCTTATCTATAAAAAGTAAAGGCAAAAATAAAAGTAAAGTACCCTGACAACCCACGGTGCAGGTGAAGTAGAGTTCACCTGTTTCAATGACCTCGGCCTAGTGTGGTCAATATTATTCTTAGCCGCCTTTATTTAACCCCTTAAGGGAGTCAGGTACCCATCAAATATGGGTAAATTTAGGGACCTTAGCCGCCTTTATTTAACCCTTTAAGGGAGTCAGGTACCCATCAAATATGGGTAAATTCAGGGACATTCCACACTCCACAGATAGGAACCAGGAATTCGAACTCGAAACGTTCGGTTTAGTAGTCGTTTGCTCAACCATCCGAACACACCATACCATATTTATAAATGTGGAAATCAGTAAATGGCAACTACCACCTGGCCATCTCTCCGTGGCTACAGCTATATTTATATTGAAGTAATTGTTTGATTAAATTGATTAGTAGGCCACACGTACCTTCAGATATATCTACGGATTAACGAGTTCAGGACTACCGACTTACTATAGAGAAACCCTTTGACAAACCAAAGCTAAAGCTACAGCTATAATCTGATGTTTAGCAAGAGGGATGAATAAAGCGTGCATCGAATCACCTCGCCAAAATTGTCTGGTGATTTTTTCTGTTAGTTTCGTAAAACTATTAAAAAAAAATAATTAAGCATCCAAATTCCCGCCTAAACAGTCAACGCACTCAGATTTTCTTTCAGCCATTTTTCCTAGCCCCCATCCCCAACGTCCGGTGTTAGGATGGATTATTAGCAAAGAAAAACTATCCATACATTTAGATAGATGTACTTTTACGTAGTTAGTTCCCTTTACTGATGTTACAGGACTTATAAAGTCCAGTGGACATTTTGTGTTGAATTTGCTGATTAGTCGTTGAATTTTATACGTGTTACAATATTTAAATAGTCTATTCTGAACCGGTTTTCCAGCTTAATTAAAGTTTTGCTGTCTATCATTATCTAAACACAGGGTTGACCACGCCTTATCATTACTATTAGAAATAATTGGACCGGGTTTTAAAATTTTCGTCATGGCCAAGCTAACATTTGAGATTTCACCTCAGATAATCCCAGAGATTAGCATGGGATTATACTGAACTGACGTTTTCAAATCAAGCAATAATCCGCCGGTAAGGTCATGCCCGCGATAGCTCAGTTGGTAGAGCGGAGGACTGTAGTGTGTTAAAATAGCGATCCTTAGGTCACTGGTTCGAATCCGGTTCGCGGGAACTTTTTTCTTATCCAAAGAAAAAAAAATACAAATTAAAGTTTAACTAATAATAATATGCAATTACTTTAACGAAATAAAAAAAAACACCTTTAAGTTGATTTTTATTTTAAAGACGACCCGACCCAATTGATCCCAATTTAAATTTTTTATTTTGGGTTAAAATCACAGGCAATAATGTATGCTAAAAATTTCTGATAAACTCGTTACATGAGAAATTTTGTCTATTTTTAGATTAAGATAAAATAAACCGGGAGTGATCTCCCCTAAATTTTCTCGAATATTCTTATATAACACTACGGAGGATGGCAACTCGGGATATAGACAATATTTTAAATCTATTTTTAATTAATTAAACTTTTAAAAATAGAATGGAATCTCGTAGAAAAAAGAATTGCGTTCCAAGCGAACGCCAAACAAAATGTGCATAATTGTGCGGAATATTATTAGTACTTTATAAATTCACAAGCGTTTTTTGAGAAATCGGAAATAGCTTAAATTACTACTTCCGGTCAACGAAAATTACTCAAAATTCATAAGAAGGCAGATAATTACATCTTTTAGTTACAAGTGAAATTTCATTTATCTATCTAAAATAGTACTCGAGTTATAGTCTTTTGAACAATTCAAAGTAGAAAAACTTCCTTTTCGGTTTATCGGAAATCACTCAAAAATTGATACTTATCTACAAATTTGATATAATACTTATATGTGAAATTTCATCAACATAGCGGTAACGGTACTCAAGTTATCGTGTTTACAGACAAACACACACAGACAGACACACACACACATACACAGACATACGGACAAGATTGCAAAACTATGTTTTTCCGACTCAAGGAGGTGTAAAACGTCGAGATTTGCAAAAATCTTGATTTTTTTTTTGCACGATTACAAGAGCTTCTCTATACTTCGTATATACGAGAAAGTAAAAAAGGCTTTGCCCCTTTTGGTTAGACATAAGATGTTATCAGCAATTAATTCTTCCCCCCCCCCCCCACACACACACAACGCAGCGTCATACAAACTTCCCTAAATCCCTAAATCCCACCACTAAGCCAGATTTACCTTACCTGGAATTATATTCTCGTTATTGGCGATACAGCTTCAAGTGATTTACTTCAGAAGATAACCCCAAACATGAAGTTGGGTTATACTGAATTGTAGTTTTCAACTCTATGTATAAAACATCCCCGCGATAGCTCAGTTGGTAGAGCGGAGGACTGTAGAGTGAGAGATATAGCAATCCTTAGGTCACTGGTTCGAATCCGGTTCGCGGGAACTTATTTTTTCATCTAAGAAAATTAAATTCAAAACTTTCAGTCGGTTGCATTGCTTTATTTTGTTCCATGTTAGTTTATTTTTGTTGGCTTTTTTTCTATTTAATTTGAATTTGTATTTTATAAATTTAAGTATATATGACTACAATAAACAAAACCCCGTGTACACTCAGTGGGAGCTATATAAATTTGATTTGTGGCGGACAAGTTGATACAAAGAAACATTTTAATGTATGCTAAAATTAAGATAAAAAAAGTTCTGAACCTTTGTTGGTTAGACATCAGATGCTGTCAGCAATTAATTGTTGTGTAACCCATCTAAAACAGGCTCTATAGTTTTATGAACACAACGATGTCCACGCTTGCTCATTACGATTACAAACAGGTGGACTAAGTTTTTAAATTTTCGTCCCAGTCCAGCGAACATTTGAGTTTTCGCCTTAAATAATCCCAGAGATTAGTGGTGAATTATTCTGAACTGTAATTTTTATGTCAAGGAATAATCCAGCGGTAGCTCAGTGGGTAGAGCGGAGGACTGTAGGTGGTTTATATGGCAATCCTTAGGTCACCGGTTCGAATCCGGTTTGCGGGAACTTTTTATTTTCATCTAAAAAATTTAACACAAAACTGTTGCATTGCTTTAATTTGGTCCATGTTAATTTATTTTTGTTGACTTTTTTCTATTCTATTCAATTTTAAATTTGTATTTTGTAAATGTAAGTATATATGACTAAAATAATAAAAAATCTTGTAAAATCCAATGGAAATTTTGTAATGAATTCGCTAATTAGTCGTTGAATTTTATACAACGTCGTGTTAAAATATTTGTATAGTCTGTTCAGAATCGATTTACAGCTTAATTAAAGTTTAGCTGTCTATCATTATCTAAACACAAGGCTGACCACGCATTATCATTATTATTAGAAATAATTGGACCGGGTTTTTAAATTTTCGTTATGGCTCAGCAAACATTTGAGATTTTACCTCAGAAAAGCTCAGAGATTAGTACGGGAATATACTTAACTGACGTTTTCAAATTAAGCAATAATCCACTGGTAATGTCATCCCCGCGATAGCTCAGTTGGTAGAGCGGAGGACTGTAGTGTGTTAAAATAGCAATCCTTAGGTCACTGGTTCGAATCCGGTTCGCGGGAACTTTTTTCTTATCCAAAGAAAAAAAAATACAAATTAAAGTTTAACTAATAAAAATATGCAATTACTTTAACGAAATAAAAAAAAACAACAACTTCAAGTTGATTTTTATTTTAAAGACGACCCGACCCAATTGATACCAATTTAAATTTTTTTTTGGGTTAAAATCACAGGCAATAATGTATGCTAAAAATTTCTATTAAACTAGTTACATGAGAAATTTTGTCTATTTTTAGATTAAGATAAAATAAACCGGGAGTGATCTCCCCTAAACGTTCTCGAATATTGTTATATAACACTACGGAGGATGGCAACTCGGGATATAGACAATATTTTAAATCTATTTTCAATTAATTAAACTTTTTAAAATATAATAGAATCTGGTTGAAAAAAGAATTGCACACCAAGCGAACGCCAAACAAAATGTGCATAATTGTGCGAAATATTATTAGTACTTTATAAATTCACATGCGTTTTTTGAGAAATCGGAAATAGCGTAAATTACTACTTCCGGTCAACAAAAATTACTCAAGATTCGTACGAAGGTAGATAATTACATCTTTTACTGTGAAATTTCATTTATCTATCTAAAATAGTTCTCAAGTTATACTCTTTTGAACAATTCAAAGTAAAAAAAACTTCCTTTTCGGTTAATCGGAAATCGCTCAAAAATTGATACTTATCTACAAATTCGATATAATACTTATATATGAAATTTCATCAACATAGCGGTAACGGTATTCAAGTTATCGTGTTTACAGACAAACACACACACACATACACAGACATACGGACAAGATTTTTTGGTTAGACATCAGACGTTATCAGCAATTAATTCTCTCTCCCCCTCCCCCTCCCAACACAGCGTCATACAAACTTCCCTAAATCCCACCATTAAGCCAAATTTACTTTACGTGTAAATATATTCTCGTTATTGGCCATACATCTTCAACTGATTTACTTCAGAAGACAACCCCAAGTTGCGTTATACTGAGTTGTAGTTTCCATGTCAATAAATAACCAATTGGTTACAACATCCCCGCGATAGCGCGATAGCTCAGTTGGTAGAGCGGAGGACTGTAGAGCGAGAGATATAGCAATCCTTAGCTCACTGGTTCGAATCCGGTTCGCGGGAACTTTTATTTTATCAGCTAATTAAAAAAATGTTTTTTTCATCTAAAAAAATTAAATTCAAAACTTTCAGTCGGTTGCATTGCTTTATTTTGGTCCGTGTCAGTTGATTTTTGTTGGCTTTTTTCTATTCGATTTGAATTTGTATTTTGTAAATTTAAGTATATATGACTACAATAAACAAAACCCCGTGTACACACAGTAAGATAAGAGCTATATAAATTTGACTTATGGCGGCCCAGTTAATACAAACAAACATTTTAATGTATGCTAAAATTAAGATAAAAAAAGTTCTGAACCTTTGTTGGTTAGACATCAGATGTTGTCAGCAATTAATTCTTGTGTAACCCATTCAAAACAGGCTCTTTAGTTTTCTGAACACAACCCTGTCCACGCTTGCTCAATACTATTACAAACAAGTGGACTGGGTTTTTAAATTTTCATCCCTGTCCAGCGAACATTTGAGTTTTCGCCTTAAATAATCCCAGAGATTAGTGGTGAATTATTCTGAACTGTAATTTTTGTCACGGAATAATTCGAATCCGGTACGCGGAATTTTTTTTATTTTTACCAAAACATTTAACCCGAAACTTTCACTCTGTTGCATTTCTTTAATTTGGTCTGTGTTGATTTATTTTTGTTGACTTTTTTTCTATTCTATTCAATTTGAATTTGTATTTTGTAAATTTAAGTATATATGACTAAAATAAAAAAAAAATCTTGTAAAATCCAATGGAAATTTTTAAATGAATTCGCGAATTAGTTGTTGAATTTTATACTTGTTAAAATATTTGGATAGTCTATTCAGAACCAGTTTTCCAGCTTAATTAAAGTTTTGCTGTCTATCATTATCTAAACACAGGGCTGACCACGCCTTATCATTACTACGAGTCGACCCGCGGCGTATCATACGCCGCTATTTAGTTGTTTTTGTTTTTTACTTTTCAGTAATTCATAATTTGTGAATTCAACAGTACCAATGCTGCCACTGAAAATATTTGCTTTAAAGCACTACCCCCCTCTTTCCCAACCCCAACCCCAACCCCTACCCTATACCCCCCCCCCCCCCCGCCGTGAAAGCAGCCTCCTCTTAGTTACCTCCTCTAAGTTTAAAATCGTTTCAAACTAAATTATCTGCCCCTAATATCCGTCACTAAACCCGTCTCTATGAAACATTTAGAGTGAACCATCGCTCACCAGACCATGTGGGGGGTGGGGGTGGTAGTGATAGAGAGGAAGAGATGGGACTGCAAGGAGCTCTTGCAGCTTGTTTTCTAACGTCTCCCAGAAGAGAATTATATATATAGAAGATAGATTAGAAAAATTGGACCGGGTATAAAATTTTTGTCATGGCCCAGCGAACATTTGAGATTTTACCTCAGATAATCCCAGAGATTAGAATGGGATTATACTGAACTGACGTTTTCAAATCAAGCAATCATCCCCCGGTAATTTCATCCCCGCGATAGCTCAGTTGGTAGAGCGGAGGACTGTAGTGTGTTAAAATAGCAATCCTTAGGTCACTGGTTCGAATCCGGTTCGCGGGAACTTTTTTCTTATTAAAAAAAATACAAATTAAAGTTTAACTAATATGCAATTATTTAAACGAAATAAAAAAAAGTCTTTAATTTTGTTTTCAGTTTTGTTAAAAACACAGGCAATAATGTATGCTAAACATTTCTGTTAAACTAGTTACATGACACATTTTATCTGTTTTTAGATTAAGATAAAAAAAAGGCCGATTGTAGCCGGAAAAAAATATACATGCGCAATGGAGAGAAACTATCGCCATCACTCGCGGCTGTTTTCGATGATACTTCGCATGCGTGTGTTTTCAAACAAACCGCAGATCCCTAACCCTAACCTGAACCCTAACCCTAACCCTCACCCTAACCCTAGCGCAGCTATTAAGTCACTGCGCATGCGCAGAACTATTGAGTTTTGTATTTTCTATCGAAAAATCTTTTTCCGAGTAGTCACTTCGTAAAAAAAGGCTTTGAACCTTTGTTGGTTAGACATCAGATGTTATCAGCAATAAATTCTCTCCCCCCCCCTCCAATACAGCGTCATACAAACTTACCTAAATCCCACCACTAAGCTCGATTTACGTGGATGTATATTCTCTTTATTGGCCACACTGCTTCAAATGATATACTTCAGAAGATAACCCCAAACATAGTTTCGTTAAACTGATTTGTAGTTTTCAACTCAATGGATAACCCAATGAGGTAAAACATCCCCGGGATAGCTCAGTTGGTAGAGCTGAGAGCTGTAGAGCGAGAGATTTAGCAATCCTTAGGTCACTGGATAACCACTGATTTTATTGATGTTAACTGTTGATTAGTACTGGATTATTCTGAACTGCAGTTTTCATGTGTAGTAATAATCAGTCTACCATACCATCCCCGCGATAGCTCAGTTGGTAGAGCGGAGGACTGTAGAGAGTTAAATGGCTATCCTTAGGTCACTGGTTCGAATCCGGTTCGCGGGAATTTTTTTTTACGACATAAAAAAATAAAAATAAAAAGATAGAACGTTATTGACACAGCCCTTATTTTGTTACCTTGATATGCCACATCAAACAAACCTAGAAACATATTTCATTTTAAATATACACCATATCTTATTTAATCAAAGGGTGATTTTTAGGTGTATCCAGATAAATGCACTATTTAATGAGTCACTTATATATAGGTCTATAGATTTAGGCTTACATTCTTATTTAGGCTTGCATGTAGTCTTACAGATTTAGGTGCAGGGTGGGCAATTTTACGTATCTAACTTTTTAGGCATACTGAAAAATACACACACCCAAATAGCAACAACAACACACATGCACGCACATACCTAATATATACACACATACACAAAATCACGCACACATACATACACATTGCCCCTATTTAAATGTATTACAATTTATATTTGTGCTGTCATAGCCTGCGATAGTTCAGTTTTATAGCGGAGGTCTGTAAAGTGAAAAGTATAGCGATCCTTAGATGAACTTGTGTTCACTTATAGTGCTATATCGGTAACTGTACCAGCTACAGGCAACTGAAAGCCACTGACAGAGACCACTAACAGATATCATACATTTCTCGAGAGGCTTTTAACTGCGGGCTTCTTGTGATTTTGATTTAATCGGCAGGTAAAATTATATAAAGAAATACAGAGGTGTTTGATATAGAGAAATTATAAATAAGTACAAATTGATAACTTAAACAATCCCGCGATAGCTCAGTTGGTAGAGCGGAGGACTGTAGAGTGAAAGATAGCAATCCTTAGGTCACTGGTTCGAATCCGGTTCGCGGGAACTTTTTTTTTAATCAACTATCTCACACAAAAAAAATCCAACGCTTGTATTTGACTTGGTTTATTTTGTTGAGGTAAATTTTTTTTATTGAATTTGAATTTAATCAATTAAGTTGATTAGACTAAAATCACTCATATCCCGAGGAGTTTAATTTGTGATTGTTAAAATATGCCCCAGTAGGATAGAATAAAACTTCCATAATACAACATAGGCCCATGTCATGCTAGAGCCATTAGAGATTTGAGTTGTCCTTGAATTTACATCAAGCAAATTTTCTGTCTCATTTTTAAAATGTTTTTCTTTGCTTGGCCAATAATTTTATGTGTTGTTAGCAATTAATTCCCCCCCCCCCTCCCCTCTCCACCATCTATAGCGTCTAACACTCCACTAAACCCCACCATCAAACCTGACTTGCCATGTAAAATAAGCTGTCCGTTATACATTATTTTAGATGAGATTATAAGATAATCTTTAACATTAATTAAAATTGTCTATCACTGTTTGTAATCCGTCTAGTGTACCTCAACGACATCCCCGCGATAGCTCAGTTGGTAGAGCGGCGGACTGTAGAATGAAAGATAGCTATCCTTAGGTCACTGGTTCGAATCCGGTTCGCGGGAATCTTTTTTTATTCAGATAATAAAACACATTAGAACAAGATTTTCATGAGCTACTTTATTTTAGGCGGCGTTAGTTCAATGTTGTTGGCGTAATTCGATTTAAGTTTAATTTACTAATACAAGAAAATATTCATTGTGTTGATCCAGCTAATACAAGATTTTAAAAAATAAACGGCCCAATAGGCTAAAAGAAAACTGACGAAACAAAGAAGCCGTTTTTCTTGAACACAAAACAATGTCATGTTAGATCGACACAATATTTGGGTTGCTGTTGGATTTACAACACATTTTTTGTCTTGTTTTATGATTAGATAAACACATAATATTATGCGTTCGTATTATGTGTTGATTGAAATATGATTTTTACACCCCACACCCCTGTGTCTAACAGACTCCACTAAATTATACAACCAAACGTGACGCCATATGTGGACAGACATTCCCTTTATAGACCATACAGCTTCACTGTCCGTTATGAATTTCCAGATCAGATTAAAGATAATCTTAAACATGAATTTATGTTTGGTTTCTGTGCTTGTAAATCGTCCAGTGTACAATTATAACATCCCCGCGATAGCTCAGTTGGTAGAGCGGAGGACTGTAGAGTGAACAATAGCAATCCTTAGGTCACTGGTTCGAATCCGGTTCGCGGGAATTTTTTATTTACACGAAATGTTTTTTTTATACGAATTTTTTTTCTAAATTAGTGGAACCAATCAAGTAAATGTTGATTACATTTTTTTCACAAATAAGTCAAAGTCTACACAACCCGCGATAGCTCAATTGGTAGAGCGGAGGACTGTAGAGCATTGAAAGAGCTATCCTTAGGTCACTGGTTCGAATCCGGTTCGAGGGAACTTTTGGAAAAATGTTTAAGATTAGCATTTTTAATGTATAATTTCTTTTTCAAATAAAGAGAGGATAATATACATAACAAGTTAAATTCGTAAAGACATTTTTAACCCAATGAAAGTATCCACACTTAGAAATTTGCAAAAATCCACGTAAAGCTTATATAATAACCTAGAAATTACGGTTTCACATTACTAAAAAGTGTTGGATAAAGTTAAA